TAGATCCGATGGATCCTCTGCAGTGAATGGGTGCCGTCAGATTAACAGATGTTAAAAGCATCACGACAGTCCACAAGTAATCCACATGACTCCAGTCCATCACTTAACAAAAAAAGATGTTTTTACTTCAAATAGTTGCTTCTGGCTAAAATGTGGGTCCTTTGTCCATAATATTGATTTCTTCAGTAAAATGTTGCCTCGTCTGAATCAGGAGAGAAGTATGCACAGATCGAGTACCATTTATAAGCGAAAACAATTCAAAGCAGTTCTAAACAAACATGTTGGTGGATTTTGATGAGAGAGGACAAGAGGTGATGGATTTTTTCACTGGAGGAAGCGTTATTATGGATTCTAGATTTTGTCCTAAATCAGTGGTTTATAGTTAAAATGCCTTAATAATGAGTTTTTTTCTTACAAACAACTAGCATTTCACTTCGCAAGACGTTAATTGATGGACTGGAGTCGTGTGAATTAATTGTGGATTGTGTGATGTTTTTATCAGCTGTTTGAACTCTCATTCTGACAGCACCCATTCACTGCAGAGGATCCATTGGTGAGAAAGTGATGTATACAATTTTTCCAATCTGTTCCGATGAAGAAACAAACTCATCCACATCTTGGATGGCCTGAGGGTAAGGACATTTTTTTTTAGCAAATTTTAATTTTTGGCCGAACTATAAAAAAATGGATTCTCTTTGTAAACTCTAATCAAAATGTAGTAACTTGCTCTTCCTCTGAAATTACTTTTCAGTAACTTGAATTTGGAAGCTGTGTGCATTGTATGCAGTTTACAAATCCCCATAGCAACATTTCATGAATCAACCAGCACCTTCAACCCATCCACTTTTAATAGGCTTCTGGACTAAATCTGGTAATTCCAGGCCCCTCAGGACCTTGCGTCACTGTTAATTCTCTCAGATCAAACAAGAGTTCATCAAGATGTGAACTTGCTTACTCTCTAAGCTGTAAATCTGTGCATTTCCCAGGGGAAATGGCGATATCAAAAAACTGATTAACTAGGCATCAGATTTATGTATTAGATCCAAATCATTTTGTTCAGAACAACAGTAGCCTACACCTCTTATTTCTGAGTACATTGCTTAAGCTTGTGTGAAGAAATACATTTTTATACAGTAACATGAAAATAATTGTTATGTGATTTTCAATAAGGGAATATTTCAGTTTTATTTTTTCTATCCCACGTTGGAAAATGGTAAGTTATATGTACATATGTTAGATACATGACAGCGTGCGCTGGAATCAGAGATTGAGACGTTCCCTCTGTCTCCGCTAGGCGGCAGTGTGACGTTGAGAGACGCGTCCAGTTTGACAGCGGCAGACAGCGTGAGCGAAAGAATGTCTTAGGAAAATATAATAAAAAGACAGAAATCCCTTGCATTTCACAGTGCAAAGCTAAAAGTCAAAAGCAATTACTTTATACTGTAGGTATATCACACCTCAACTGTGATAAGTTTAGTTTCAAACTTTAAAGAAATAGTAGATCCGATGGATCCTCTGCAGTGAATGGGTGCCGTCAGATTAACAGATGTTAAAAGCATCACGACAGTCCACAAGTAATCCACATGACTCCAGTCCATCACTTAACAAAAAAAGATGTTTTTACTTCAAATAGTTGCTTCTGGCTAAAATGTGGGTCCTTTGTCCATAATATTGATTTCTTCAGTAAAATGTTGCCTCGTCTGAATCAGGAGAGAAGTATGCACAGATCGAGTACCATTTATAAGCGAAAACAATTCAAAGCAGTTCTAAACAAACATGTTGGTGGATTTTGATGAGAGAGGACAAGAGGTGATGGATTTTTTCACTGGAGGAAGCGTTATTATGGATTCTAGATTTTGTCCTAAATCAGTGGTTTATAGTTAAAATGCCTTAATAATGAGTTTTTTTCTTACAAACAACTAGCATTTCACTTCGCAAGACGTTAATTGATGGACTGGAGTCGTGTGAATTAATTGTGGATTGTGTGATGTTTTTATCAGCTGTTTGAACTCTCATTCTGACGGCACCCATTCACTGCAGAGGATCCATTGGTGAGAAAGTGATGTATACAATTTTTCCAATCTGTTCCGATGAAGAAACAAACTCATCCACATCTTGGATGGCCTGAGGGTAAGGACATTTTTTTTTAGCAAATTTTAATTTTTGGCCGAACTATAAAAAAATGGATTCTCTTTGTAAACTCTAATCAAAATGTAGTAACTTGCTCTTCCTCTGAAATTACTTTTCAGTAACTTGAATTTGGAAGCTGTGTGCATTGTATGCAGTTTACAAATCCCCATAGCAACATTTCATGAATCAACCAGCACCTTCAACCCATCCACTTTTAATAGGCTTCTGGACTAAATCTGGTAATTCCAGGCCCCTCAGGACCTTGCGTCACTGTTAATTCTCTCAGATCAAACAAGAGTTCATCAAGATGTGAACTTGCTTACTCTCTAAGCTGTAAATCTGTGCATTTCCCAGGGGAAATGGCGATATCAAAAAACTGATTAACTAGGCATCAGATTTATGTATTAGATCCAAATCATTTTGTTCAGAACAACAGTAGCCTACACCTCTTATTTCTGAGTACATTGCTTAAGCTTGTGTGAAGAAATACATTTTTATACAGCAACATGAAAATAATTGTTATGTGATTTTCAATAAGGGAATATTTCAGTTTTATTTTTTCTATCCCACGTTGGAAAATGGTAAGTTATATGTACATATGTTAGATGCATGTCAGCGTGCGCTGGAATCAGAGATTGAGACGTTCCCTCTGTCTCCGCTAGGCGGCAGTGTGACGTTGAGAGACGCGTCCAGTTTGACAGCGGCAGACAGCGTGAGCGAAAGAATGTCTTAGGAAAATATAATAAAAAGACAGAGATCCCTTGCATTTCACAGTGCAAACTCGGGACAGGTTTACTTTGGCTTAAAACAGATCGAAAAGCAAAAGCATAAGGGAGAGAATGCGTAAGCTTGCAGAAGTCGCACTCTTTCAAACGGACTGAAGAAATCAATGGATGGTTTTAACTTATAGGCACGCGCTCGAGAACTCATCGCATTCATCTTATAAGCGAAAAGGCGAGTAACTATCATTTAAACGCGTCCTTTCTAATATTATGAGAATTGTTAGGTTTCAGACAAGTAAACAGAATATATGACGAGCATCCCTTCCTCTCTCATCCTGCGCATCAGCTGCGCGCCTCGAGAAGCAGACTTAAAGAGAGTGAGCGAAACAGCTGGAGCTCTGAGTTCTGCTCTGCAGTGGTCGTCTCATATGCTGAGAACAATTACATAACTGTCCTTGAGTGATTGTGATCATAAGGTGACCGTAATTGAAACCACGTACCATCTGTAACAGATGACACCAGCACGAATCGGTCACTTTCATCGACACTCTCAGCACAAGGGGATTCATTTTACATGATAGATAGATAGATAGATAGATAGATAGATGGATGTTTTAACCCCCCCCCCCAATGTTTAAGTAACAAAACAAAAGTTAATCAGAACGCAAGTGTTCATAGTGACGGTTGGCTACATCAGCACCTTGCGTTAAGTTCATTATTTAATTAGCAAAAATACTGAAATATTGATAAACTTTATTACAGATGTTCACAATAACCCTTACTGATTTGATTAAAAAGACTTTAATATTAGTTAACTGTGGGCGCCAAATAAGAGCTGGGGTTGCGCAAGACGCATCTTATCGTATTCGCGCCCCGAAAATGTAGTTTCAAAGAAATTCTTTTAAAAACTTGATCCCCTAAAAGTTATGGATAGACAGCAAGCCATTTCTGAAGAAAACAAATAAGGAATGAATGAATCACTGTGACTGTGAACATTCACAGGACTAACGGCGCGCACTACTGCTGTGTAGAACAGATGCGCATCTGAACAGTCAAGGCATTTGTAAGAAATTGTTAACAGATACTGAACCAACATGTCTATTATGGTGTGTTACTGAGTCTGTATACGACAAGGTAACACTGTTATAACATTACGTCTCCTTTTTTCCTGTGGTTTTTGAACCATATGCTGAGTAATCAAGGTAGCTCAGCGTGACAGCATCATTAAGCCCATACGATTAAACCATATCCATATTCTGCGAGTGGCAGGTGATACTTTCTCGAACGTATGAGGCTTAAAGTATTGAAAGTCTCTCTCGAATATTGACAGGACTAACGGCGCGCACTACTGTGTGGAACAGATGCGCATCTGGACAGTCAAGGCATTTGTTGAAATTTTAAACTGATACTGACCAACATGTCTATTATGGTGTGTTACTGAGTCCGTATAAGACAAGGTAACACTGATATAACATCACGTCTCCTTTTTTCCTGTGGTTTTTGAACCAAGGGTTTAAATTCATGCTGAGTAGGCTAATCAAGGTAGCTCAGTGTGACAGCATCATTAAGCCCACATGATTTAACCATATGCATATTCTGCGAGTGGCAGGTGATACATTCTCCAACGTATGAGACTTAAAGTATTGAAAGTCTTCCTCCCTCTCTCCCTCTCTCTTTGGGCTCTTCTCCAGGTCCCGCACGCTCCAGCGCCCGGCCCGTTCACTTTTCACCCCGCCTCAGTTCTGTGGGGTGGGGTGGGGTAAGGGGGGAGCCGCTTGCACCCTGGCCGAATGCCGCCTCACTGCCTCCGCTATATAAACACACATTGGAAGCTCGCTGTGCAACTCGAACTCACGTTGAGAAACTGTATGTGAAGAGAGAGAGCTAGAGCGCAAGAGATAGAGAGTGAAACCGCATCAGAAAACGGGCTAGCGAGACGCACTACAGTCATCTGAAGATGTTTACTGCTCATAGGCATCAAACTTCGGAGGATTATTTCTTTCATTTATTTCTGCGTCTTCCTTATGACCATTACTTGATTTCAGTACATTTTAAAAGATTATATCGAGCTTTCCTGTAAGATATTTTTAAAATAACTGAAAACATTTTTTTTTTTCAAAAAGCAACTTAAAGCTAATTGTTAAAGAAGAACTTATAATTTAGAACAACATTTCTAAATCAAGTTTCAGGTTTGACGAGTTCACGCCAAATTGATATTTAAAAAATTAAAATTGAATCTAGAATTCACGGAAATATTGGAAAGCGATTTGCATAATTTAAAATGATATACAAACATTTAATATCGCTTTTTAATATCCAGCATTCTGTTAATTAAACACTTCAATTTATTCATTTACTTTTCGTTACAAAACTTTGTTGCTTTGCCTTTTGGTGAGAGAGATTCTTCTCAGTTATTTTTGCTTTTCAGAATAGGCTAGTTGTAGCAGCAAATCATATATAACTCATATATAAGTCACCTCATATACTCCCGAGAAGGCTTAACCACTGTAGTGCGCATCACTCTAAAGAAATATCTGAGACAAGTCCCGGACCTTCACAGCCATGCTCTTCGAGAGTTTTGACCTTGTCTCGGCGCTGGCGACGCTGGCTGCGTGTTTAGTGTCCATGGCACTTCTTCTGGCCGTGTCCCAGCAACTCTGGCAGCTGAGATGGACTGCAACACGGGACAAGAGCTGCAAGCTGCCTATGCCCAAGGGCTCCATGGGGTTCCCCATCATTGGAGAAACATGCCATTGGTTCTTTCAGGTAAGCGCTCCATCTCCTTGTGTCTTTCCAAGTTTCCAGTCGCCTTGCTGTCGCACGCACACCGCTCCGGTGCGCGCCAGGCACCGCGGATTCGTGCGCTCACCAGTGTATACAGTCTCCCTGTAGGTAACTGGGTTGTTAAAGACACATCAAGAGTAGGATAACGTCCACTAATGCCTTTCGCACGTGTGCGCTCGAGCGTAATATTGCGCTTTAAAAAGCGAACAGCCTGCAGGTTAGTTATTCCCACGTGTGCAATTTCATCCGTGCCATATTTCCATGGTGTTAATAAGCTGTCTGTTTTAGATAGCCGACAGTTTTTGTTTCATACAGCCAGTTTTCAATCCACGTGGAACAACCTGTTTGCGGCTGCCAAGAAAGGCGCGTTCCGTTCCAGAAATATTGTAGTCCTTGGCTTCCGATGCGCGCGAGAACACAGCCACTGAGCACCGCTTGTCAAAGCGCGCGTAAACTCCTCTTGGAGCGCGGGGTGGGATTGATCGCGAGGGCAGGTAGTGTCGCGCTCTCATTGAGCTTCTGTGTAATTGCGCGCGCCGGTTACTCTAGACGAACCCGCGTGTTGTGAATGATGCCGTGCCGTTCTGTCATGATACCTAGACAGCGCGTGGTGCGCATACAGTACATTCAGGGAGTCTCTGTGCCATCTTAATAAGTTAGAGAAATTTGTGAACGCTCACTGCGACATGGCTGGTTTAAAACTTAGAAAATAAGGTAGCATAATGTGGTATTTTAAAAGTAGGTTATTACACGAACTGAAGCTGTAAAAAAAGCATTCCATACAGTAAAAATCGTGAATAAATGTCTTAGGAATTCTTTCCATATTAAATCCATGGTGCGCATTAGGATGTCCCAGGACATTGACTCGCAGTAGCTGGAGTGGGTTGCTTTCAACTGAGATTTTCAAAAGTGATGAATGTCCTGGTCTGAGTGGTGTACAGATCAAATTCTCTGGTCAGGAATAGATTCTCCAAAGTTGCTGAAAATCCAGAAGAGAATTTCCATGCAGTTGGCAGGCTCTCTAGAAAAACAAACAGGCTTGACTGCATCTCAGAGTTATATATTTAAAATCAAAAGGATTTGGTCCGGTCCATTTGTGCCAAACTTGTGTCATTCCTTATTGCTACAGCTCAAGGCATGACTGCGAGGCGACTTGGAGCTACTGTGCAAACGTGCAGTTTGAAATGTTGATCTCTCTCCTTCTTGTGCTTCTGAAAACATGTATTGCTTTTTAACAATCTGTGTACAGCGATACATTTAAGACAACCCCTTAAATTGGTCGGTTATCCCCTTTTGTGGTCCACATCTCTCTCCTTAAGCCTCAGCGGAGCAGTAGTTGAATCCAAAAGTGGGTCAAATCTGTGATTGACATAGATTTATGGACTCAGAGGAGTGTCATTTTTTTGCGTTCTCTTGCGGTGTGTCTGTCATTTTGAATTATGAAATTATTTTGTATTTTGTCTGTGTATGAATTTTCAATTGACCGCAAAAAATATCTGGTCACAACTTTCTTTTTTTGTCCTCTTCTCAACGGTGCTCCAAGCTTTGCTGAAATATCCATATGGCGCATTAACTTAACTGTGTCTATGCCAGGGCTATTACTTTTGAATTGTGTGCTGATCAGTTATGGTGAGTTCAGACTTAACATTAATAATGATCATTATATAAGCACAAATTCCTTTGCCATTGTAGCAATAACTCCTCAATACTGCAGTTTCTCAGTACACAGAGAAGGCTGTCTAACATGAGAGCACAGTTCACCCATTGGGCAACCCTCCCTTACCTCTACCCCACATCTACACCTTGACCCAAATCGCTCCAGTCTGGGTGGCAATAAAGCTGCCCACCGGGGGGTCAAAAACACACCCACACCCTGGAACAAAGACTACACTGCTTGGGGCTCTGATCAGAATTCCAGAGAGCATGGCCTATAGAGACCTGGGGGATTTAGGAACAGTCTTCCAGCATCCCCTCTCTCTCGCTTTCTGGCTTTCTCCTGGGGCTTGTCGGGATTAGCGAGCATGAAACGGGCATGACTGGCACCAGTGTGGTGTGGCCCCTTTTTCACCTCTGGAACGCACCACCAACCCCTCAAACAGCCTCTTGTCTTTAGGAACAGGGGACGGGGGGTGAAAGCGAAGGGGGCTTGGCAGCAGTAGTGGGAGGAGGAGGAAGGTAGGGGGATAGAAAAGAGAAGAAAAGGGGGTCCCCGGGGTGAGCGCTCACACTGCACTGAACAACCATAATCTCTCTCCACAAAGTGTTTCCAGGTCAAAGGGGAGCCTATTCTCTCAGCTCGGCCACATTTAGGTTCTTTGCGCTTGTCTCGTGGGCTTTGGCGCTCGCTCGGCATTAAGCGAAACCATTGCTCTCTGATGCCGATTGCTGATTCTCACTGCGTTGCCCGAAATTCCCATATCTGCTTTCATTTATGCAGAGCCATGTTTGGCGGGTACAACCAAGGGTGACTGATGGCCAAATAATGGGACCTCAAGTCCTACTGCCTCTGCTTGCTTTCCCCCTCTCTCTTTGCAGAAATTCTGTCTATACCCCAATGGAGACGGGCCAACGCACACATCCTGAGAGATTCCAACGGGCTATTTCAGTAAATGGACATATTATCTTTATTTACGCTGAGACTGTGGGTCAGCGTACGGAGAACTCCTCCCGCACCGTTACCTGCCGCTCTGAACCAATAAACACAGCAGCACCTAGACTAAGCCATGCACACACACACACGCATGCATATATACAGAAGGACCTAAGGACAAGGGTCCGAATAATGAGTGATACAAATAAAGAGCATGGAGCAGAACGATGTGCCAAGGAAAACTTGCCGTACACTTTTCAATTCCCGCTGCTCCATCCATCTTTCTTTTCTTCTCATCTTACTTAATGTTGGTCGTATGCTGAACAAACACATTGAGGTGATTGAAATTGCAGATGAAATTGCACCCCGCAGTCCCTCGCGTAGCACCCCCTGTGTTCGGGTCAACCGTAGCTGATCCGAATAAATATAATTAAAAGTTTTTTTTGTGATTTTAATAAAGGGGTCATTTGTATAACATTTCCACTGGCACACAAAGGCTACATTTATGTACGGGAGGCTCGTCTGGTGTCCAATTTACACAGAAATGTGTATTTTTAGTCCTGCGCACTCTGTGTGGAATGAGCCAGTGGAAAAAAGCGGTCCTCTTTATTGCACCCCCTTTTAAAATATCTGATAAATTTCTTTTCAAAATAAAAGAAACTATTGAACGTGGCGAGATAACCTTTTCACCTCCAGAGGCAGAGAACAGGCATGTTTTGTGCGAGGTCGAAGTGCATGTAACTGAACACACACATGTACTGTAAACACATTTGATCCATTCAGCTGTTTTCAAAGTTTTGCCTATTTATTGACTGATCTATTTCATTCTGATTCTAAGGCTTTAAATACGCCAAGTGACAGAAACTACACAGCCACATTAGCTTCTGACACAGATGCTCTTCTCCCAAGAGCCCTGCGCACTTTATTGTCTTCAAGCGACGTCTGACATGTGTTTTGCGGTCCAAATGAATGTGGAAAGCTTTTCTGTCTTATCGCTGAAGATCATCTAACCTCAACCTCTAACGGAGTTCTTGAACCCAATCTGACTTCGCTCAAAACAAACAGGCTGTATTTGATTGACAGACGATTTCACTTGGTTTTTAAGGAAACGCGCTCGGAGCAACAGTCACCATGACCATGCATGCGTGCAGAAGTGAACGGACACACTGGCCGCATACGTGTGTGTGTGCTTGACAGTGCGAGTAAGCTGCAGATTATTACCTCATAACTTTTCCAGGGTGTGTGGAGCTTTTGTGCGTCAGTGACCCTTTTGGGTTTTTAGTTTTATTTTCGTTCTCTGCACGTCTGAGCTTCTGTGGCCTTGTGAAATGAGGGAGGACATTTCTCACCTTCTAGCCAAATGACATCTGCGCGGCCAAGCCCAGCGTGTCTGTCTCCCCATTTTGCCTCACGACCTGTTCTGCTATTTCCAGCGCGCCGAGTCACTTTTCTACGAAGTAGATTGTGACCATTAAAAAAATCCTAATCACATTTTCTTATGCGCACCTCACTGTCAATCACCATCCTAATCACATTTTCTTATGCTCACCTCACTGTCAGTCACTTCTAAGCCGGAAAACCTTTACCTTTTTCCATCTTCTAGCACGTCTTTTGCTCTTTCCACTTGTAATACACAGGTCAGGACTGGATCCTCTCTGGCTGCCCTTCTGTGTACACTTGTTTCAGAGGGAACTGTTGGCCCCTACATGTGTAAATACACACATGTAGATGTGAGAAATGTATATGTGTTTTTGGTGATGTAGTGTGTGACTGTACATTGCACACTTTCACTACTCATGGAGAGGTGGAAAAAAGGCTCTGGCCTGGTAAGGATGACAGCATGTGGTGTTTAAAATGGATGTTCCTGTTCCCAGAATTATCAAACACACCAAGTTCACGCAGGTTACACATGATGTCAAAACAGAAATCGTCTGAAGAGGAAATATGACAGAACAAAGACCATAAACAAACATAATATAATACAAATGACAAGTTCACTTCTGCGTAAATGTGTTTATACATTGAAATCAACAGAGAGAAAGTTAGAGAGTGCCCTTATGTTGGGCATGTGTGAAAGACGGCCTTGTCCTGGGTCTGTCAGGTTAAAACGGCTCCTTTCTCTCTCTCTCGTTCTGACTGGTCCCACTGCTGAGAGGTGAGCACACACACACATACACACAATCATCCATTATCACACACACTCAGTTCTCACCATGTGGTGAAAGATACTACATTTATTTTCCCCCTCTTTC